CATCAAGACGTAAACCTACCTCTTAGCATTGCGGTTGACGCCTCTAACACGGCCATTGGAGCTGTGTTGCAACAACTTTCGGATCACACTTGGATCCCAGTTGCATTCTTCTCCCGGAAGTTATCCACCTGCGAAATGCGGTACAGCACTTTTGGCAGGGAACTGCTCGCCATATATGCCTCAGTGAAACATTTTCGTCATTTTGTGGAAGGTCGTGACTTCATCATCTTTACCGACCATAAACCTCTGACGTATGCCTTACACACCACTACTGACAGATATTCACCGCGTGAATTACGTCACCTAGACTATATTTCGCAATTCACGTCGGACATCCGTCATATTTCTGGTGTGAATAATCCTGTCGCAGACGCACTGTCTCGCGTTTGCACCACTACTTTGCCTCGAGCAGTCGACTTACGGAAGATTGCCGAACTTCAGGATTCAGACGAGGAGATTGAAAAACTTCAACACTCAACCTCTCTGAAGATACAGCGTTTACCGCTCCTGAACAGTGAAGTGTCAATATTGTGCGACACCTCCACAGGCACACCCAGACCGGTTGTTCCTTTACCCTTGCGTAAGCGCGTTTTTGATGCTTTGCACAATCTTTCGCATCCTGGCATCCGTGCCACTGACAAACTCATATCTGCTAGGTTTGTTTGGCCTGGTATTAACCGTGATGTTCGAAACTGGACACGGTCATGTATTCAGTGCCAACGTTCCAAGGTGAATCGTCACAACATCCCACCACTTGGAACTTTCGCCAAACCGGACTCACGATTCGCTCATGTCCACTTAGACATTGTCGGCCCACTTCCACCCTCCGATGGATATAGTTACCTACTGACATGTGTCGATAGGTTTACTCGCTGGCCGTTAGCCATCCCATTGTCTAACATTACTGCCGAAACAGTAAGTCGGGTCTTCGTCGAAGGATGGGTTTCACAGTTTGGATGCCCTTCCACCGTGACAACCGACAGAGGCCAACAGTTCGAATCCGCTACCTTCCAGAAGCTGATGAATCTGTTGGGATGCAAACGCATCCACACTACCGCATATCATCCAGCTTCCAATGGTTTGGTGGAGCGATTCCACCGACACCTTAAGAGCGCACTAATGGCAGTCGACAATATGAAATGGACTGAGTCTCTGCCGTTGGTTCTTCTCAGCATCCGTTCTACACTCAAGACTGATATACAGTGTACACCTGCTGAGTTAGTTTACGGTAGTAACTTACGTTTGCCGGGTGAGATGGTCGCTTCAGACTGTAGTGACCCAACTCCTACCGATATCCATGGCTATGCTCAAACTCTTAAGTTACACATGCGTCGCCTCCAACCCTCATCCACACGGATACAGTGTAGACGGGTGCAGTTGGATAAAAGACTCCAAGATTGCACTCACGTCTTTGTGCGTTGTGACGGTGTACGTAAACCCTTACAGCCACCATACGACGGACCCTTCAAGGTTCTCAGTAGGAAAGAAAAGTTTTTCGTCACTGACAGATCTGGACGGCAGGATTCTATAAGTGTCGATCGTTTGAAGGCAGCTTATATAGAGGACGACCCATCTTCCTCTACACTGACACAACTAGAAAAACCCTTGCCGCCAGACTCCCAAACAGACTCGTTTAGTCACGCGTACCCCGAATCTTCTAAAAGAGCCACCTCTAGTAGCACTGACCCAGCGCTCGCTACACGTGCTGGGAGGCGTGTAGATTGGCCCAAACGATACGCCCCAGCGCAACTTCACACTTGGTAAATTCGGAGTTCCAACTATCTTATCGTGGCATGTACTATCAATGCGTTTTCGTGTCTAAAGTTTTCACAAATTTTGTTCACTACTTTGAAAACAGTTTTTTTTAAAAAAAACAAATAAACCAAACATACGACTTAAATTTCAAGAACTTTTTTTCGCTGGTTAGTATTATTTTTTTCTGTACTCCCCCACTTCGATTTGTTTGGTTTTTCTTTTCCTAGCACTCTAATGTCCCATTTCCTTCTTCTTTCAGAACCTAGGAAACGCGCTGAAAATTAAGTAAAATTAGCCGCTGAAGATGCTACTTGGATCGTTCTTCGATTCTCTTTGTACCGATTTCCCCGTGCACACTCCCCGGTAGATTACAAAGCAATAGGGAAGAGCAGACAGAGGCTTTGGGTCATTTTCCACCACTGCGAGAAGGGTTGCGTCTAGACGCAAAGTTCTCTTACCTCGTAGGTGCGCATAGTTGCGCTAGCTTCGGAGACCCATACGTCACCTACTCCATCACCAATATGGAAAGGTGTTGAGTGTCCGCCTCGCAGTCGCCTCCTAGGATAGAAGGTTGCCGGTATCCCGACAACCTTCTAGGAGGAAGATAACCTGTAGTGCACCTTCCTGGCACCAAAATATAACTAGGGCTAAACTAAATAGTTTAAATTAAATTAACTAAATAAATCTCTAGCTTGCCTCCGGATGCTTAGTGTTTTTTAAGTTTTGTTTCAATGAGCATGCATCTGAGCAGGCTTGGACGCCATTTTGCGCTCCATTGTGCTGGTTACCACGCACGCACTCCGAGTCCCTAGTTCAGCCTTACAAGCTAGATAAGTTGATTAGACTTTCCCCTCATTCATTACTATTACATTTACTTTGATTAAATACATAGCTCCTTCAAATACATTGAGTATCAGTCCTTTTGATCTGTGTTTTGTTATCAGTACTTACACGTTAGGTAAGGAACTGGTTAAGCAGGTACTAAAGCACATCAGGTTAAGTAGGGTTGATCAAACGTTACGAATTGCAACACGCTCCCCTACAAGCCCGTTACCTAGACACCGTATATGAATAATAAAGTTCAGTCGCACCTATTCCCCCTCCAAGCACAATAATCTTCAGGAGTAAGCATGCTTCGGATAGGGTCTGCATTGAGAATGGCCTTCATGAAGAACTTGATTATGAGGGAAGGTGTGAGAAACTGAAGATTGACCCACTTTGGTTAAGACGCCTGAAACTCAACCCTAATTTATTTCATCGCCTCTTGCGTGGCATTACTCATGCCTGTTGCTCTCCCACTTCTGCGTCCTTATAAAGTCTACGCAATCGGGAGTCTACCGTACCTGTTGACGAATACCGCCTTAAGCGTAGGTCATGGTTCTTTATGATAATAACATAGTAATAATAATACATTTCACACAACATAGGTTACATGAGTACGAACCAGTTTGCGGTACACCAAGCTATGGAATAAGATCCCACTTTGTATTTGCAGATGCATGTTCCCATTTCAGTTCAAGCATCTACTTGTCGAATTTCCCCAATCCACGGATATCCATCATTTCCTTGACATTCGCACTGTATCCACAAGAAAAAGGTATTGTGGAGCTATCGTCACGTAATTGAAGCCGTGCCGTCGCGTCCACTGATAACACTGTTAATTAGAATGCGCACAGCTGTTATGTAGTATCGTTTTCACTCAATTTATGTAATTACCCCTCCTGCATGAGTTACATGGATACTGAACTTTGTGTCCCCCTAACTCAATTCTTCCTTGCTCAGTCACGGTATACCACGTTTGTAGAGGCTTGTTTTTCATTCTCGCACAGCTTTAATAAATCCGAACCTTTTCTCTTGATGATAGACTGATTACTGTGTGTTGAACACTAGTGTACAGCGTCGACATTATCTGGTCACATGATCAGAGCAATTCTACGTCTGATAATAGAAACAAGATATACTTTCACAGTCGAATTTGCCAAGTCGACCGGAGTCGGATAATTTAAGAATGTGGAGAGTACGTAAATATACACCCCCAAATCAACCATACAGTGAGTAATTTTTGTTGAATTCCATACTGTTCTGTGCGTATTTACGCTAATAGTGTCCCTGGTGCCAGCTATTTATCCTAACCTTAATGGTCCTATAGTTTAGCTCAGCTCAGCGACTCCTATCACCTTTTGTAGAAATTCCACCCACCATTCCCTTTTCCTTTTGCAATGAGCTGGGAGTCTTTACGCCATGCAGTAGTACGCTTCATTCTTGCGTGATGAATAAGGCTTGACTGTGGCATAAGGGAAGGCATGATGGGCGTAGGCGTTGTCTGATGTGTGATAAATGCCGAGGGTTGATTTAATCAGTAATGTATGCGTGGTTTTAGCCGGCTGTGAGTAGACTGAAAATATCTTCGTAACCGTCAACTTTATTGAACGTAGTACAAAAATATGTAAGAAATTGGAGTGAAAAGATGCGGAGATGATGGTAACTGACCAGCATGCATGACCCTTGCCAATACGGCGATATCTCTATGAAACCTATGTCTCTTGAACTTACGGTAGTTTTTGAATTTAAAAAGAAGTGGCGAAAAAATAATCGGAAATAAGAATGAGGTCGCTGAAAAAATAAATTCCCTGTGTCTACCACCTCGGCCCACTCTGCAGCACCACGTTGTCTCTGTAGCCCTGATATGATAACACTCGACAGAACATTATGGTGATCTCTCCCAAACGACTTCATGAAGCGTGTTTTTGGAGTACGAACTAGACAGAAGAAATCAACCGCTGTCACACCATTCCAACTATGTTGCCTCCAAACAGGTTTTATCCCTACTGTAATCACTTAAGCTCTTTTTATCCCTCTCACTCGCTATGAATCAGCCTCACCTACTTAAGTTCTACATATTTTTGCGCCCCTCATGTCTTACCAGGGTGTAAGTAGGTTATTCCATCATTTTGCTCTTCTTTGTCTTTTATTCGCACACATTTGTCTTCCTAGGTTACTTCTTTACTGTCATTAACTGACGGTCAGTCAGGACAACTGTCTGGCAACTCGATATCTAACGAATCCAACTGTACCACAGTCCCAGGGAAACTAACCAACACTCAACCTCCTGTTCTGTATACCAGAGCTATAGCAGACAAGTGGCTGGATCTGTCGCATCGGAATCCTCTAAAGACGTGTAGCCACTTTCCAAGCCCGAGAAGTGATCATGAAGAAATCAACTGGTTTATGCCAGCTCGTTAAGCACACATTGAATATTGGATAGTCCGCAGGTTTCTGTTTGTGCGTTACTATCAGCAGAAATGTTTCGAAGGCTTGTTTTCGGGTCCAATAAGCTGCTTCGGAATGTAGTTTCTGCTATTAGAACTTATTTTTCGGTAAAATAGGCCAAGTGTGTTCGAAATCTGAAAATTCATGAGTATTCGGCCATGGAGCTTCTGAAAAAATATGAAATACCAGTGCCAAAGTCCATCATTGTTCGCAACGTTGATGAGATTAAGGCAGCCTGTAAGGAGCTTGGTAAGTTAAGAGTACTCATATTCACGAGTGTTTTGTTGGTTTGCCACTTTGATCGGTACTAGTCATGAGTTTGTTCAAAGTCTCCTTATACATTCTCCACATATGTGAAGAACGCGTTTTCACATCATTTTAACAAACCACTTTATCATCTCTACCCCTCTCCCAAATTAGTTTCTTCGCTTCCTTTTTTTCTCACTCCGAAACCAGTTAGCATTAATTCTCTCAACAATTAGTTTTATAACCTGCTCTTCAGGCCAATGAAACTCAGTAACTGCTGAGAAGTTCAAATAGAATGCCCAGTATTTTAAAAAGTGTGGCTAAACGATATACAGTCAAATCAATAGCATCACAATAAATTTCATTTTTCGGTTTACGAAGTAGGAACTAGTTGTATGAAGTCTGCTCGCCGGCTGTCATGCTCACCACAAACAATCAAATTGTTCCATATTAGATAGTTTATTTGGAATTATACTCCACCACAGTGGATTAGGAGTTGTGTGAAACCATCACCTGCATTTGCTGTAACTGTAAACGTTTTGTTTTCTCCGTTCCTGTTTATTCACGTAGTTCTTTTAGTCACTTATGTGTTAGGCAACTCTTAATTTCTCCTTGAACATAAACTTATACGTGATAATTGGAACTTTATTGGTTTATTTTCTCAGTTTGTTTTGCGGCAGATAACTACCTTCACATCTTTGGCTTCTTACCTTAGTAATGGTTGCTTGGGTCGAATTTAAATACATCCACCAACCTTGTACACATGAGGCAATGAGACACATCTATTGTGAGGGCTAATGATACCCCCTGGATGCTCAAACCTCGGTGTTCGAACCTATGACCTCTTAGTTGAAAGTCAGTTGATTAAGGCAATGAGCCACAGACTCACATCATGGTGACTGAACATGTTATTATTTTTTCTACATATTTCTCTCACACTAATTGATTTTCACTGCTATCGAACTAGGTTTAAGTTCAGGTGGTAAGGCTTCACATCATAAATAACGCTCCATTTCACCAAAATGAACAATTCCATCAACTTTGGGGTTATTACATCCTCGTTTATTTGTTGCCTCCATAGATACTTGTTTTTACTGCACGTAAAATACACGCATTGTTTTTTACAATATAAAATGTTAGCATTCTTCATGATCAATATTAACCAAGGACCAAACATTACTACTTAACAGTCCATATTGCGACACCTCATCAGCACATCAAGCTTGAAAGGACATAGACAAAAATCAAAGGAATAGAAAATTGATCGGAAGCAGTAAAATAGGGCAGGTAAAATTGAGAAAATACTGGATTCAGTATGACGACTAAAATGATGATGTGTGGATACGTCTTTGCCACACAGATAAATTTCGAGCCACGTCACATAGATTCTTCACTTGTTTCTGCCGCCACGCGGACCCCAACCGGGAAGTTTAAATTTTCCTACATGGCTCAGACCAACAGTCAAAGACCTCATTCACTGATATCGTGTTGTAGTCTCATCCCCCTAACCTTTCCCCAGCCTAAACATTCTTCAGCCAACATAGCGGGAATAGGCAGATGGACCTACGTAATACATGCCCCAGCTACCTCAGTCGATAAGGGTTCACAACGCGGCAACACTGCGGCACGTAACTCATACTACGAAGGGAATGGTGGTCGAACACCTGAAGCCTTTTCGTAACCTCTACCTTTAAGGGACATGTTTCGCAGACGTACAATAAAACAGAACGAACTCCAGCACAGTACACTCAACCCTTAATAGACAATCAGATATAGCGGCGGCGACACTTATGGCATAAGTTAGTAAGAGCCAATCAGACCTTTCATGTGCGTGCACAGATTTCGTGGGTCACTAATCCACCAGAGCTGGTCCAACTTCTTAGGTTAGTGAAGTGGTCAGCACACTCAACCATCTCGCTCCTCCAATGAAGGTCATTCGTGGGGCAACAGTCTGCATCTAGGTGATGAGAAACGCATCCCAAGGATTAGCAAATTACCAGTCAAGATATCCTACAAAAAACAAACCTTGTACACATTTGTGCAGCAGACAATGGACCACACCTATCGTGTTAGAGTTAATGATACTACTTGACTGGCCAAACTTCGGTAGTGGATCGGTGTTCAAATCCGTGACCTACTGGTTGAAAGTCAACTACCTAAACTAATGAGCCTCAACTCCACCTCAAGATACCAAGAAAACCCTGCATGTTGTCAGCGTTTTCACTTAACAGGACTGTGTCATCTGCGTACTATAAATCAACCAAGGATTCTCCTTTGATGAGATCAATCGCTGTGAAGTTAGACGACAAGAGGGAGACCTCCATAAGTATTGTGATAGATATGAATAAACATGGAGAGAGTCGACACCCTTACGGACACCACCTGACGTACACAACTCACTATGGCTCCAATACGCCCACGTGGATTTGAATACAGAGCCTTCAACAGAGCGATGTGCCTTCTCAGTACCCGATTCAGTGAGAGACATCACTATAAGACTTCTAGATCGACGGAGTCGGATGCCGCCTTCAGGTCAAGAAATATAGCTACTGCCGAGCATCTATAAGTGTGCTTGTTTTCCGGAACTTGGTTGCTGTCTGAATATCTTGTTGATATAATCACGACCAAGTCTGAAAGCCTGGCTAGTTTTCTCACGTTTGCTGTTCCCGAGCTCCACTTATGCGTCTGATTAAGAAACCTAGAATCGTATACATTATGTTCGTCAGGCTGATCCTTCTATGTTTGTCAAAAGAGGACTTCTTGCCTTTCCTAAAGACTGGGACAATCAGTGGTTGAGACAATTCAGATGGAATCATATTTAACTCCCAAACACTAGTTACTATCTCAGTGTACTTGATTGACTCAGAACACCTAGATGGCAGTTCTGTTGAACGAAAACGCTGGAGTAATACAACTTATTCTGACCATGACCTAAAATTTGAGTATGTTCTACACTTACCAAATATAAAGCGATGCCTATGAACTGTCACAATGACTCCTAATTTTAGGATAAAGGGTAATGTAGTTAAATTCGTTAACCATTTCACCTATTAAACAATTCACGTCAACCCTAGTGGACAGGCATAATCAACATTGGTCAGTCACTATACTTCACTACAGCTTGCAAAGAACAAATGAGTAGGCTGATATCAAAGTAAATAAAGATGTGTAAAACGAAAAGGAGTTTTAGAATCTAAGTTGGTGAAAATGTTGAAGTTTTAGATGTAAATGGTTAAATGCATCTGCGCCATTATGATTGATTTTCAGCCATATCACCAAGGATCTCCAAACATTGATCCCTATGGTCTTACTTGCATCCCTTGCTTAGTACTCTTCGTCTGACATCCACGTTACCCGCATGGTTATTCTAAAACAAGTGAGCAATGCAACGAATATACCTGTAGAGGAAGCCTGTCATCTCTTCAAATCTGATTTCAACGGTCGTGTCCCAGCTGTATAATAGGACAGTGTAGGCTACCGCTCAATGCATTCTTTCTTCGGCAAGTAGGTAGTCGAATATCTCACCGACGCTATATATGACGTGATTCGGAAAATTTTAAACCTGCGTTTTGAATTAGAACTGAAATTTTGCCAGTAACCAGACCGCTGAGACTAATGCAACTGCTCAAAGTATGTGAAGTGTTCAAACTGTAAGCAGCCGCAGATCAGTTTTTAAGTATCACATTACGTTTGACAGGTGTGAAACGCATGCAAAACATACCCAGACTTCCGCTCAATGTGTTCAGAAATCCGCATTGTGTCAGCATCCTTACCTAACGATACACTGTCGTCTGTGTACTCTAAGTCACCCAGGTGCTCTCCAAGGACCAGGTCGATCCTTTTGGTCATGTGTACTTAGGGTTATGTCGATTAACACATCTGTAACGAAATTAAATAGGAACGATGACAGAGGGAATCCCTGGTAAACACTACCTGTCTTCGCCAATTCGGTTGACGACTGTCTAGAAGCCCTTACATGACTGTGTGGGTTCGAGTGGAGAGCTTTGATTAGCGTCACATACTTGTTCGGTACTCCCATCACAGTCAGCCGGCCATCGGTAAATGTGCTTGTATTCCGAAACTAGTCGATGGGTAAAGATCTGGTCGATGCACCCTCTTTATGGTCCGGAACCTGCCTAGTCTTTTTGAGCTTGCTGTTCTCGAGCTCCAGTTAGGCGTCCGACAACTATAGACCATAGAATTTTGGATGCTATGTTGATTAAACTGATGCCTATCACGTGAAAACTTCCCTCCTTTCTTGTGCGCTGGAACGATCGATAAAGTAGACCATCATTACCGCATTACCGCGTAACGGTCCGAGTTGCCACACTTCATATCAGTACATCAAGTAGAAAGGTAGTGAAGTGGAAGATGAAGATAAGAAAATTCAGTCAAAAGAAATACAAAGTATGAGAAGAAAGAAAGGAAGAAGGACAAAATGGTGAGGATCGGTATAGTGTTAAGATGAGGATAATGTGTGTATACATCTGCGCTATTGACATCGGTTCCCAGCCATATCCCCTAGAGTCTCCAACCACTGGTTCCTCTTGTCCCGCCGACCCCAACCACCTAGTCTACATCGCCCCACATGGCTCAAACCATCAGTCAGAGACTTCATACATCAGTGCCATGTTTTAGTCTGGCCACGTCAGACCTTTTTCCAGCCTCAACCTACTTCAGCTAACATTGTGTGATGAGGCAATCGGTGACTAGGCATACGTAACAGGTGTCCCAACCATCTCAGTCGCTGAAGGTTCATAACCTCGTCTACTGATTTACCTCTGCTCCCTAAAACTCTACTCCTGACTTCTGCATTACTCACGTGGTGACACCATGGAATACGGCCTATGCTACGAAGGCAACGGTGGTCAAACACTTGAAGCCTTCTCATATCTTCCACTTTCAATAGCCATGTTTCACAGCCATACAGGAGAACAGAGCGGACTGCTGTGTAGTATACGTGACCCTTAATAGACAAACGGATATCACGGCAGCACCATAGGTGGCGTAAATTGGCAAAAGCCAACCGAGTCTTTTGTATTCGTGCAGAGATTTCATTGGCTACTGAGCCGCCAGGACTGATTCTACTTCTCAGGTAAATGAAGTGGTCGGCACACTCAATCACTACAGTCTCTATTCTTAGCTGTGGTACTGCTGAAGACCAATCTTGGAGCAATAACTTGCATTTGGGCAGTGATAAGCGCATCCCAAACATCCTCGAATTGCCGCTCAAAGTGTTCAGAAGGCTCTGCATCTCTTCAGCGTCTTCACCTAACAGGACTATGCCATCTGCATATTCTAGGTCTAATGGAAATTCTCCTGCGATTAGATCAACGTCTGTGTAATTAGGTGACGAAAGGGAGACCTGCATGAGAATATCTGTGAATAAGAATGGAAACAGTGGGAACCCTTGACGGACACCACTCGATGAGCATAGCTCCCTGGACATCTCACCATAGGTTGTAACATACCCACAAGTGTTCGAGTAGAGAGCCTTCAATAAGGCGATGTACTTACTTGGCACGCCTTTCAGTGAGAGACATTGCCATTCGACTTCTCCATCAACGGAGTCGAATGCCGCCTTCAGGTCGAGAAATACAGCCAGTGTCGGGCGTCGGTAAGCGTATCTATGTTCCAGGACCTGGTGCAGTGTGAATATTTGGTCGATACACCCGCAGTTGGGTCTAAAGCCTGCCTGGTTTTCTCGGGCTTGCTGTTCCCGAGCTCCACTCAGGCGTCGGAGAATTATAGAACCTAGGATCTTAGACACTATGTTCGTCAGGCTGATTCCTCTGTGGTTATCACAAGAGGACTTCTCGCCTTTCTTGAAGACTGGGATGATGAGTGACTTAGACCAGTCGGAGGGGATCGTATTTGATTCCCATATACTGGCTAACACTTCCGTTAACCTGACTAAGAGCACTCTACCACCATTCTTGTATACCTCAGCAGGTAGTCCGTCTGGTCCTGCTGCCCTTCTTCGTTTCAGGCTACCTACCGCTTTCTCGACTTCTTCTAGTGTTGGGGGGCCTGTCTCTATGTCCCATTCAGGGTCCGACTGGATAGCGGGCAACGCAATGGTGGCTGGAGGCCAGTTAAACTGTTCCTCGAAATGTTCTGCCCATCGTCCCAGTCGTCTCCCCTGCGAGTGAATCGCAGATCCGTCCTTCTCCGCTATAGCCTCACTAACTGTTGTTGACCATTTCCCCCCAGTCTCCTTAATAAGTCTAAATAACTGTCTACTGTTACCGATCGCCGCTGCCTTTTCCATCTCTTTAGCCTTCGCTGCCCACCACTGTTCACGATCGTTGCGCAGACTTTTCGTCAGTTTATTTTTAAGTTGCGCTCGCTCTTCATTGTACTCAGAGCCTGCAGGGATGCATTCACGTGCATCCATTAGTTTGGAAGAAGCTGCTGATATCCACTGGCTCTTTTTAGCCATTATTTTGGAGTCGGCTACAGTCTTCAGTGCTGCTTTTACAGTAGACTGAAGATGGCACCAAGCTTCTTCTGGATGAGTGACAGTCTTTTGTTCCGATAACTGCCTAGCCAACTTCTCACTGAACACGGCTTTGGTGTTTTCGTTGTCCAGCAGAACTCGTAGTGGTTTTGTTGCCAAATTTTTACGTCCATTGAGACGCAGGCATATACGTGCTCGGACCAACGCATGATCGCTGTCCAAACACGTACTCCAGAAGGAGCGGCAGTCTTCCACCGATCCTCTCCAGCGATGACTAATAGCAATGTGGTCTATCTGTGTCCATCGCTGAGTCGAGCTCGGTGGACGCCAGGTCAGACAGTGCCTTTCTTTATGTCTGAAATTTGTGCTGGCTAAAAATAGGCGGTTATCTGAGCATAGTTGTAATAGGCGATCACCGTTATCTGTACGTTCAGCTGGGATTCCGAAAGTGCCACCTAAGTGCCTTTCTGCCTCACTCAGTCTACCCACCTGTGCGTTGAGGTCACCTGCAACAACCACCACGTCGAGAGGGGGTTAGACAGTTTATGGTAGAACTCGTCCTTCACTTCATCCGAACTACAGTCAGTGGGTGCGTAAGCAGAGATTACAAAGAGACAACGGCGAGTCTCACTATTCCTTTTAGTTCTCACTGTGCCGTTCAGCCTCATAGCGCAGAGGCGACTATCAACTGGGATCCAGTCTAGTAGTGAGTTTTCTGCCCTGGTGCTTAATGCTATACCTACACCTGCAAGACCACGAGAGCTAGCTATCGAATCTCCAGAAACTCGAAGGGTGAATTTTGCAGATTCACCAGATTGGTCAGGAGAGGTCAGGTGAATAACCACACTTGGGTCCTGTATGCGTGTCTCACAAACACAGCACACATCCATGCCCGAGTTGCTAGAGTCTTTGCCAACGAAGCCTGTTGGCCAATTTGACGGAGGGTGCGGACATTGAAGGCTCCAATATGTAATTTGGAGCGTGGTTTAAGGAGACCAAGGATGCTGTTCTGTGGACTCAGATCGTTGTCGAAGGCTGCAGAGGTAGGAGAAATTGAAGATGATGCAGCATCATTAATTAAGAGACGTGAAGGAAGATTAGAAGGTAATGATGGAGGAGGAGGATAGCAGTCAGAAGAAACTTGGGTGCTGACAGAGTTGTGAGGGCGGTTGACACTTCCCGGCTGCCCACACCGTGGAAGGCTATTTCTCCTTAAGGTACCTGAAAGAGATTTGTGTGACCGCAGAGCCCATCGGACATCTGCTTGAGGCCTGTCACACCCAGCCTTTTGAGTATGATTATTTTGAACTTTTGTTGTTTTGGGGCCGGATGTTCGAAAGGAAACGACAAGTGAACCAACACCGCCGGCCCGGCAGACCGTGGGGCGTGGTGGAGTGTGTTATTTTTGGGGCCGACCTTTTCTAACCCCCCCTTCCACTGAGAAGGCAGCATCAGCATGGCACTGCTGGTCATCCAAGGGAAACACCTTACTGCTGTCACACCCCATCCAGCTAGCAGCAGTACGACTTCGCCCTCAGACCCCCATCATAGTGTAGCAATTTACACCACAACGGTAACTGCTTTTCGTCCAACCACTATCCAACAAACGTTTCTGGTATGGTAAAACCTCGAGGGAACAAGCGTCCCATCAGTATAGCTCGTTGGGTCATTGTGATAGGCAAGCCCAACCACCACGTCAAGGTAGCAGTTATCGGTCGGGGATAAAGTAGACCAGTCTAACTTGATTGCCTCTCATTCGAATTCGCTACCTAGTGCTTGCATTACCTAACTCAGCAGTTTATTGGTGATAAGCCGTCAGGTTCTGCTGCTTTGCATCGTTTCAGCTTTAAAATAGCCTTCGCAAATTCGACGAAAGTTGAAGGACCGCCACGTACTATTTAAATCCAACCTGGATACTAAGCAACTGAAGTGTGACAGTAATTCAACTGAACTGTGCTTCAGTCACTGTTTCACTCATTTTTTTAGACGCCTGTCGTGAGGGATTTTCAGGGTTTCATGCTTTTCAGTGATGGTTTCACTAACTGTTGTCTTTTTCTTGCCAGTATCCGAAACAAGCCTGAATAAATGCCAAGTGTTACCTAACGTTGATACTCCATCTCTTTCGCTTTCACCACCCACCACTACTCGCGATCATTTCGAAGACACCGAGTTAATTGATATTTAAGCTCCTTTCGCTTGTCGTTGTGATCAGAACCAGCTGGAATAATTGTTCTCGCATTAATCAGTTAAGATGTGGTTGCAGGAATTCACTGACTTTGATAATTTTTAGGTGTAGGCTTCCAATTGCCTTTACCGCTGTTTCTGCAGCAGACTGAATATCACACCAGACGTCATCAGGGTGAAAGATGTTGTGACGTTCTGATAAATACATTTAGTGTATCCTCCCTAAATGTTACTTCACTTATACATTTTTCGGTCGACTACAAACAGGTTTAACTGCCGCCTGTTTCCTGTAATCATTAATGTGCAAACAGATACATGCCGGTACTAACGCTCGATCTTATTCAAAGCAGTTATTTCAGGAACAATGACAATCTTCCACCTATCCTTGCCAACGGTGGTTTATAGCAGTGTTGTATGTAGCACACAGTGATACAGTATTCACTTGATGATACTTTGAGCATAAATTATTGCTCATAATCATATCATTGTAATATGATGTGATATATGATTATTAGCAATAATTTATGTTCGAAACGTCATCAAGTAAATAATACTGCATCACTGTGCGATGTATATCAAATAAAAAAATCTAATATGGAATTAAACCCCACTACAGTGTCTATGTTTTACACGTATACTTATATTATAGCGTATGATCTGTCTGTGTCCACCGTTGGTTTGATGTTGGTGGACGCTAAGTAATACAATATCTCTTCTTATACTTGAAGTACTAACCAGAAACAATTGATTGTCAGGACAAAATTGCAACAGACGGTCACCGTTGTCGGTATGGGATATGGTTCATACCTCGAAGATGTCTTTCCTATTGACTCAGCTTTCCTACTTGAGCGTTCGTCATCTGCTATCATGTGGATATCTAAACGTTTTGGTTCCGATAGGATTCATCTTGTGTCATCTGAACTACAGTTGGTGGGTGAATAGGTGGAGGTTACGAATAGGCATCGCCTTGTCTCTAGATCCTTCCTAGTTTTTACGGATCCGTCCCATCGAACAGCACACAGAAGGCTGTTGTTCGGTATCCAGTCTAGAAGTGCAAAACTAACGAACTGCTTTTCCAATCGTCTTATTCGTCCTTTTATCGTCGTTATTCTTTCTTATGAACTATACTTTCTTTTCGTTATCATTTTGAAGTTCATATTTATGCGTATCTTTATTCCACTAAACTGGTTATTACTGACTAAAATTCTGATCTATCTGTCTTTTGAGCCACTAAAAAGTTGCTTCCACAAATGCTTCCTTCAGTGCGATGTCTGAGACACCAATCCCGAGAATTCACACAATTCTTAAGCCAACCACTTTCAAAGTTTGAACCTTGATGCAGATCGGATAACAAATAGATTTGACTAAGGCTTTGGAACGACAGACAGATTGAATAAATCAATGTAGAGCCTTGCACATTAGTACGTTGGTTGAAGTTGCTACGCTTCATCCTGGAAAGCGTTACTGTTTATGTTTGCTGTATTTCGGTGACTCACATACAAGATCACATTGAAATGTTCAAAAGTGTATTCCCAACGCACTTATCCGGGGGTCTTGTATTGTCAGCAGCCAACCTTGCTGGTATTAGCTTCGTACTATGCGCTAGAACCGAAGTTGCTCCAGTCAACTAGATCCCCATCGAC